TTACATAACATAGTCTGGAGTAATATTCTATACGCACAGCCCAAATTCGGAGCCATGTGATTGTTTCTGCGCTTAAACAAGCCATTTGTTTGTTTGAGTCTGGCGTTTGAAATTCGCGCGCTTGCAAAAGAACACGTTCAACTCGTAAAACGTGACGTGTTCGTGTTTTTTTTATCGGCGCTTCTCCCAGGACCTTATAAAAACGATACCCCCGCTGATTCCAACTTCAAAAACGAAGTCCAGTTTGACTCCAGACCATCTGTGCCGGGCCCTGGGCTCCGCTTGCTGATCAGAGTAGGCGCGGGGTCGCTTTTGGTTTGCGATTAGGCCCTATCCGCCACCTGGGACGCACCACGTAGCCTCGCGACTAACCGGCTGAGAACCCTCTGAAAGGGAGATCGGTGGCGTAAACATATAAGCTATCAATCAGAGGAGCACATGTTCGGAAAATTACTACACATTGGTATCTTCATCTTGGTTTTTTAATAGCTCTCGAAATACATATCGTCGAGTCATTTGTAACTCAAAGGCAGTGTCCCGGCAGATTTTGCACCTCCACCTTTTTGCATGTTTTAGGTCTTTTCGCCACGTAGAATCCGAATTTGAGCTTTGAACGGGCTGAAAAGGCCGATTTTGGGGCGTTTTCCTAATTCCAGAAAAGCAGCTTGGACGAGATTTTTAATGGAAAGTTGGGGGAGGTCCTCAGACGAAGATCCTGCCACCTGTAATTCTTGCTTTGGATAGCATGCATCATGGGGGAGAGCGCTCGTGGGGTCCCGCGCCGAACAGGCGGGGAAGGCCGTCCAAGCGCGCGCCATTTGGGGTTGCGCGCGCCGGTTCAAGGGCCATTTTCTCGGCCCAGGGGGAACATCACCCAGCCGGAGTGCGCCTGGAGGTCGATGGGGTGACCAGGAACCCCACCACACGTATATCCCCCAGGACCCGAATCTGCCGGGACACTGCCTTTAATATGCGTAGTGCACACTATACACGCTGACAAACTGGAAACTAAAACCTCCTCATTTCCAGTGATTTCTCCTCGTTTCCTTGTTTCTTTCGTTTTAATCTTATATATATAAGCTGAATGTGTGTGTGTGTGTGTGTGTGTGTGTGTGTGTGTGTGTGTGTGTGTGTGTGTGTGTGTGTGTGTGTGTGTGTGTGTGTGTGTGTGTGTGTGTTCCGAATAGAAAATTCCATTTCTCAACCGATCCGGACCAAACTTGGCATACGTACACTTCGGGGCAGGGCGGGTGTCATAGACTACTCTTGGTCATCGATCGATATCGATTTTATCGTTTTTTTGCAAAATTTGAGCTACGGGGCTGGGAGTTGGCACAGGGGGGTAATCGAGCATGCTGATTAGAAATATGTTATTGACAGGGCCGGGCGGAGCCGGGTTTGTCAACTATTTGGTTATATGTTGGTCAGTAGAACACATTTCTACATTTAGTAAGGCTAGAAAATTTTTACTTGGAAGTTACTAGTATGGGAGCCGACGCCAATAGGGCGTAGTGTGCAATCTCACACATTAAGTTACAAATGACTAGAGATTATGTAAAATAAATCATGTGGATAAGAAACTCACCATAGAGTCATCCAAATGCCTCTATCATTTTGACAATACTATCGGCCGCGGCTGACGATGTAAACTTCTAGTTCAGGACCCTTTAGCCTCTTAAACTGTCAACATTATCCTAGTGATTTTTGAAACAATTCTAAATATTGAAACAGCATCTTATATAGTGATCCCGTCAGACTACAGTCAAAAGTGGCACAATGTTTACAGCTGATAAGCGTATCACAAACTGTAGTTAGAACCGAATACTCGTACTCAAATATTTAATCGAAATATATGATTATTCGAATACTCGAATGGTCGAGTGAATAAAAGTTCTTTATTTGAACAATTCGTTCGTTCCACGACTCGGAAAAATAACTTCTAATTTTGAGCAATATTCGAAAAAGTATAAAAGACTGTTATACGCATGTACGAATAGTCGACAAGTTTTGGTATCCTTGTTCGAATATTCGAATATTCGATTTTTGCAATTATATTCGAACCAGTGCGTCGCTTCTGCTTCGCAGAGGCTCGCACTGGCCCTACTTTCTGTATGCCTTGCTCATTCCCGCATAATAGTAATATTGAAACTTACCGCGCTATTCAGGCTATCACGAATGAATTGTAAACAACTACTCATTCCGGGAGCTTTTTTGTGTGAGATCGGTATTCTCGCGTGTATGAAACTTTTTCGAGAAGAATAAATGCAAATTTAAACCGGTTTTTGGACTTTTTATGATTTGGTAGTCGCCATAACGACGATGATCACCGTGGGCTACATGTCTGTGCAAAAATCTTCCCAAATGATTAGGTAGAATCTTGGCAAATTGAACATTTACGCAACTGATTTTTTCGGCGCCATTTCCGTAAAGTAATCAACTTTAGTTCAATTTCTTGGGCTAAAGTCCATGACTTGCACATTAGCTTGTTAATCATATCCATGACTTTGCAAAAAGTGGTGGTACAGGCCCAATTTTGCTGGCCAGAAGCCTAGTGGATCCGTTTGAAGCGCAATTTTTGAGGGGTCCACTCGACGGATCCGCTCGTGCTTTTGCGTAGCGGACCTTCCTGCTGCTAGGATGTACTATGCAAAATTTGGGCTCAAGAGGTTGGCTAGAACTCGCTCTACGAATTTCGTAACGGACAGACACACACACAAAAACACGTAAACAACCCTTAGTCCGTTATTATAAGTCATGATATTGCATTCGTATAGTTGATGATGTCAGTTATCATCTATTTAGATAGTCGAATATTCGATCGACTTCGGTAATTCAAATATTCAAAATTTTGTAATTTGGAATCTGTCCATATTCGATAATTCGAATTCGAACACCAATAATATTCGTTCATTCGAAAATTATTTAAAAATTCAGTCATTCGAAATTCATCCGTTCGAAAAATTTTCAGAAATGTTATTCAAAAATTTATTCGATGAAAATTTGCGTTCGCTACAACTATATCACAAACTGGCAAAAGGCATAGTTTCATGGTTTGGTTTTGGTAAAAAATCTCTCGAAAAAATCTGTTACATTTATTAGATTTACAATTTTGGAGAGAAAGGTGGTTGGGATTTATTAGTTTCTCAATGCTTATAGCTATATGATTGAAAAGGTCAAGCGAAAATTGAAGTTTGAGTAGGGAGACCCCTTTGTGGCATCAAGGGTCGTTCTATAAGGACAACTTAGGGGCACGTACTTTCGTGCATGTATGGGTGCGATCGGACGTCAAGGCTTTGATTTCACAGCGCACGCAGCTGCTGAGAGGTTCACAATGGAATATGATGCTGATGGCTGGCTGCTGAAAACCATTGCATTTCCATGCAAAATGATTAGCATATTCGTAATCAGCGTGGCAAATAACGCCACCACACCAAGTTATCGTCCGATCGCACCCATACATGCACGAAAGTACGTGCCCCTAAGTGGTCCTTATAAAACGACCCTTAATTCCGTATAATTTACAGCTTACAATAAACCTACCGTAATCCCGCATGAGGAAAAACTCCACTACACCAAGTTTCAGGCATTTTGTGATTTCCGCCCAACTGCCATACCCTTACCGTAACCTCGCTATGTGGGCATGGCGAAAAATGAACGTTAAAGTCGTCATCAACGTGCCAAATAACCCCACTGTACTAAGTTTCAAACAACTTCATGATTTTCGCCCAACTACAATATCCCTACCGTAACCTCGCTATGTGGGCGAATGGCGAAAAATGAGCATTATAATCGTGATCAGCACGTCGGATAACCCCCGGGGCCAAACTCTTACAAACTTTAAATTTTTGTGTTTAACAGTGCACCACCCCCCCCCCCCCCATCATGCTTGCTGAAACTCGGAGCAAAATCCACCTCGGAGGACTTCTTGGCTGTACTTCCTAATCGGCACCTATTTTTCTTTCTCTAACCAAACTCAGAGTTAACTCCGAGTTTCGCGGGCGCCTGAAACGCGCAGCAAACTCAGAGTTAACGCGCAGCTCAGGGTTGGGCCAGAGTGCGCGGCGTACGTCCTAAATTGTAATTCTCGTGTGGTGCCAACTTTCCCAAAGGTCTGCTTTTCGCTTTCTTACTTTTCTCAAAATCGAACGCTTTTTTGTGTTTCAAATTTCAGAGTAATCACGACGCATGGTACACTTTCCTTTTTCCATTTTTTTGTTTCTTATTTTCTATATTCACTTTGGAAACACAAACTTTGTACCCTGCTTCTTGTAAGAAGATCGGTAGGACGATAGATAGAAACGGAAAACAAAACTACTTATGTTGCTATCAATGTCAAAAACCGACAAAAAGCGCACAAATAAAAAACCCGCTTGATTTTACTGCTTGCGGCGAGGCCGGAAAGATTAATACGTAGAATGTATGGAAATGTGCGATCGCACCAATCGTGTACAGATGTGTCCAGAACCCGCGACCAGCGATTTGATAGTCGCGATTTTGTCGCGCTGATCACGAGATTCCGGGTGACAATCACGACGATGAGATTGCTGTACGTATGGCCAGGGCTTTAGATACCGCGCCCGCTGGGGCAGCTGCGGCGCTAAGGTCGATACGACCCATAGGTATTGAAAATAACCGTTCCGTATCTTCTCTTACATTACATCTTAGTGTCTCTTCAATGTGTGAATGTTGTGAAGCTCGAGCGGAATTCCTTTGAACAGTTGAGATCTCGACTATTTGTGCTTGCTTTTTCCGTTACTGATAATAAAATTATTTCCTTACGGTGCTTGTAAGAACGCCAGCGAATAGATTTCCAACAATGGTCAAAGGGGACTTTTAATTTTAGAGAAATCGAAGGGAAAGTCCTTTGAAGAACCCTCGAAACTGACTCGTGCCGGGGTCCCCAAGTAAGAATACTCTGTTTTCACAGTACACGCACACCCAAAGTAATGCAGTGTAGAGCCGGAATGTGCAGATGACAGATGTCTCAGCATAACATCATCGTATTTATTTGGAATCAAACTAGATACTAAAGCACTAGACGTGTTCCTTGGAAAATTGGAATGTTGACGTAAACCATTCACAATAATGATGAGTCACAGCTACATAGTGTATAACTTCAGTAATACACAAAATGTGGACAACACCGCCAAGAACAATCCCGCAGCAGCAAAAAGAACTACATGAGTTTCCAGATCTAAATAGAACAAATTATCAGACGTACTGCAAGAATACTTTGTAAGAATTCAGTATGCTAGAGCTTTTTCAGTTACAAACTAACATTCCCGACAGCGATTCGGCAAATTTCCTTCAATTTTAATCTTCATCTGCTTTCTCAAGTGTGCTTCCAAGCTTTCGGATATGCACAGATATTTGTTGTTTACTACGGCTGTATAAAAAGGAACATAAATATAACTTAGTAGATAAACACATAAAGAGTATCGCTACCATTTTGACAATCCTTGTTAGGCTTGAAATAGAAGGAACGAAGGAATTCGATGTCGGTGAGCAGTGTGTTAGAGATGACCAGACACCCATCCACCTCTCCACCTGAAGCTGGCAGCTCACCAGCTGGCTTGTAGCTGAAACCCTGCAAAAACTAATTATTGTGACCAACTTAATCAAGAAATTGCTGGGATAAGAGGGAACAGTTGACCAAAAAAGGCGCTCTTATATATCTTTGTAAGCGATTTGAGGTAGGAGTTGATGTGATTCTAATCATACCAGTGCTCACCTCTCGTTCAAAACTTGGCGCTGGCTAGCATGAAAAGCAATTAGACTCTGCATAAGCAAAGCAATGTCATGTACCTCTGTCCCAAACTAGGGGCTATCTTAGCATACTTTCCAACAATTTCTGCCTATAGGCCATCTTCTCATATCCGACGGTAGATGATTGAGCAAAGCTCGTAAGTCTCTTCAGAACAAGGCTTGGCGTTAGGAACACTGAATTTTGAAAGGCAGTTCAAGCTTCAAATATACATGTCTCTTCTGAGGCCAAACTGATGTAAGTTAGGTTTCTTTTTTTGACTAATCGCCCAAGTCCAGGTGCAAAGAATGAATCAGAAGCGAAGATTCGATCTAAAGAGTAGAAGCGGTCAAAGTAGTTCCGTCCATCGATGTGAATGTTTGAGGATAATCAGATAAAAGGTGGACTTCAGGTCAGACAAACTGCCAAGATTATCGTAATCATAATAAAAGGCGTATTTATGACATTTTAGGTACATTTGAGCCAGATTTTGGACTTGTCAACATCAGACAACCCACGTTAATGGCCCAGGGCACCTTGACCATTTGTACCTTCTGGAGCAATTTTTCGCTTCGGATTTCACCCTTTGCGACAGACTTGGACGATTAATCAGTCAGGAACTCTGCCAGTACACAGGATCAAAGCCCCTGTCATCCCCAATTTAGGTGGACGGTGCATTCTATAACATTTTGGATAAATTTTTTCGGCAATTTAAACACAAGTTTACAGTTCCGCTTTCAATCTTATATATAAAGCTAAATGTCTGTCTTATGTCTGTGTGTACGTATGTGATAGAAATTTTTTTCTGAACCGATTTGGACCAAACTTATACTTCGGGGCAGGGAGCGTGTCATAGGCTGCTTTTCGTTATCGATCGATATCGATTTTATCGATTTTTATCGATTTTTTTGCAGAGTTGAACTGGGCAAAAAAATCGATAAAAATCTCACCTACAGGGCTGGGAGTTGGCACAGGGGGGTAAATGAGCATGGGGATTCCGAATTCAATATTTTGAGTATTATCGTTTGCTTTTATCGATTTTATCGATTTTTTGTAAAGTTTGACCTGCGGGGCTGGGAGTTTGCACAGGGGGGTAATCGAGCATGGGGATTCCAAATACAATATTAGTTTTCAGAATCATCGATTACTTTTATCGATTTATCGATTTTTTGCAAATCTTGAGCTACAGGGGTGGGAGTTGGCACAGGGGGTATGTGAGCACGCTGTTTACGAATACACTATTAGTTTCTGGAATTATCCATTACTTTGATCGATTTTTATCGATTTTTTCAAAATTTGAGCTGAAGGAAATGGAGTTGGCCCAGGGGGTAAGTGGGCATGCCTATTTCGAAAACAACACAGGGAACGGGAAATGAAGTGTAGAAGTGGGCACAGGGAAAGGCTGCACAGGGATAGGGATGGGACCATAGATGCGATAGCTGGAGAAATTTCTCTGACCCCCTTCACTGTAGAGCCGGCATCAGGTTGACCCCTTTCACCTGAAGTTGAGACTAGAATCAAGGCATAACGGCATAATCAAACAGCCACAGCTGTTACAACGGCACTTTTCGTTGAAAGGAAACGCCAGCTGCTCTTCTCCTCAGACATCACGACTACAAGATAATATCGAAGCAACAGCGTTTTGTTGAAAAAACGCATGCTTGAGACCTTCACCGCAGTGGGTTGATAACGAAACATAATCAAAAAAAAGGATGCCTGATTCTTTGAATAACTAACATCGTATCAATGAGTACACACTGTCACATAAAGAGTTGAGCAAGAGTAGAAAATCTGGACTAGTCAGATGATGCGTGTTTACTGACAAGAATTGTACTATATCTCCTTTCACTAAAGAGAATAATTATAAATGAAAGGGCATACATATTATTCGTGTCTCAGGCTTTCGAACCATATATAAACTTCGAAAAAAACCTTCTTGGTCTGAATAAATAATTACGAGAATTGGCTGATATTGTAGCTGAGTAAAATTGCTCGTATCTCGCTTCACAGAGAAGCTAGGAAAAAATAGACGATCTACGTCGACTCCTCGTGTTCTTAGCTATCGAATGGTGTACAAAGTTTTGGTGCACAAAGCTTTCCCAATCCAAAAAAGTCTTGCTCCGGCTACCCATAGAAAGCCGGAGCAGGGTGGTGCAAGCTAGTATTGAATATCTCCACCTCAATTTTGAAAAATCACGAGCTTTTCCACCCAACAACCTATATACCATTGGAAGCTCACGAAACAAGGATTCGACGAAGACCGTCTCTTTTTCTCTACCTCCCCTCTACTCAGAGATACATGGCATTTTAGCTAGAAACATGTGTGTTTTTCTCAAGAAATTCCTGCGTGAAGAATGAATGAAGGTGCTTGATTTTCTAACAATAGCACAGAGCAAGGACTTGCCAGTAAACGTAGACCGTCTTTTTTTTCTAGCTCTTCTCTTTCTCTCAGAAATGGAGCGCAAAGTGATTGCATAAAATCAGTTGATGCTGAAGGTAGATATGATTTCTTATATGTGTATTCACAGGAGAGCTGAAAAAAAAGAGACGGTTTACGTCGATTCTATATGTCTCAAGCTTTCGAATGGTATGTCCTGATGAAACACAAAGCTTTCCCGAGTCAAAAAAGTCTCTGTTAGATGACCTTCAAGGGCCTAAGCATTGAGGAAATCTTCATTTTACATCTCTATACCGCTCATTTCCCTTCTTTTCACTCCCGCTACCATTAGGCATGCAAGCTTGAGTCAGCATTCATCTTAAGAGTCAGTTATCCCCTTCATTTTTCCACTTCGGAAATAGCCAAAGCCCCTTTACCTAGAGAGGGCCCTGCTCCCCTTATCGCACCTATGGATGGGACCTTTATTACAGTGTTTTGACAGGGCCGAGCGGAGCCGGGTAAGCAAGCTAGTTTCTCAATAAATCAATAGCCTTCAAGCAACAATTAATGCAGACTATATCTTATGCAGGAACTCCACCGATGAAACTTTCGAAGGTTCACTCTTAGGCCCCGGGCAGACTTCACGCGATTTGATCGTCGCGACTGAGTCGCGACGAGACAACTGTTACAACATCATTCCATGCCGATCAACTTGCATTCGGTTGTGATACTTTTCCAGCCCGAAATTTTTGAATGTGAAATGAAAATGAATGGAAATCTTGGCGATTAGATCGCGACGATTAAGTCGCGTGAAGTCTGGCCGGGGCTTTACGCTGATAATCTCTTACTCCCCATTTTTGCTTCAGAATGAGTAGAATGCGCACGAAGAGCGTGATTCTGCCATTTTGAATCATAGGCATCGATCCAAGTTGCACAGTTTCTATGCACTAATTTTCGACGATACTAGAGCCTTTCTGATCAGATTCGTTCTGCCTTTGACAGCAGTTGCGTAAAGCGGTCAACGCTTTGCCACGCACGCCGCGCTCAATTTTGTGTCCACAAAAACTCTCGGTGCCGATGTAACAGGGCAGCGAACTAGGAGAATGGAGCAGATGCATGAGTGGATGCCATCGGCAACATTGCGCTAGTGCTGGGAAAGGAAGGCTCTTGAGCTAGTGTTTATGGTGGAGCGGCAACGCTTCGATTCTCGCGCAGTGTGAGTCGTGATGTTGCCTCATAAAACCGGGCACTCCTCAAGCATATTCATTGCCCCACGATTCTCGACAAGACAGCTGTCACGAGTCTACTGTATGCCGGTCATCAAGCATGTCGGTTATGCTAGTTTTCCGACGAACACCGAACATTTCTATTAGGACATACTTGCTTCAGCGAGCTGGTCGCTAGTTGCGGATTTTTGAAGCCTCACCAGAGTCAATCTTTAGTTTGAAGAAAAGTAGTACACTTAATCGCTGCTGAACAGTGGCGTACTGAGGGGGGCGGGGGGAGGGCCCGCGCCGGGTCGCGAAATTTTTGAAAGTTACTTATATGGGTTATAAAAATGTGCAAAGGACTTGTCTTTACTTGTAAATAATTGGAATAATTTTTGAAAATTTTTGAAAATACAAATTAGCCTTGTAAAAAAATTTTTTTCGGAGGCGTGGGGGGACCCGCAAAAATTTTGAGAAGCACTCCTAAAATTTTTTCGGACTGCGTGGTAGTAAGCCACGCACATTCATTCCAAAAAATTTTTTGTCCCCCCCTCCCCCCGAGCGGAAATCCTGGGTACGCCACTGCTGCTGAAGTAGGTCCGTGAAAAGCGATCAGTGATTTCGCCGCGTTTCGGTCGCTACTTCTAGCAAATCGCGACGATGCCGACGTTGAAGACTGTCCGGGGCTCAAAGGCGGCGTTCAGATTTTAAGTTTTGACTTCTTCCATTTTCCCGGTCTCTTTGGCGCTCTGTATCCAAATACGGGGTTGCCAGCGCTGAACTCAATTTCCCGTTTCCAGTATTCTAGAGAGTTCGGAGTAGAGTTTAGTGGTGAAGGGAGAGGTTTGATGCAAAAACCCAGCGCCTGTAATCCTTGCACTAAATAGCATAGAGACTATGCAAGCTGTGGTGTCCGGCAATGGGTGAGAGTCGTCCGGGCATGGACAAACTGAGGCACGCGAGCCGTTCCAGAAGAAGTTTTCTATGGTTCAGCAGGCCAATTGGGCTAATGGCCAATGTTAACATGCTGTCCCCATAAGGCCATTTCTTCGGGAACTTAATTCTGCCGAGCCACTGCCTTCAAAGTATTAGTTATTGGCTTTTAACTGATCGTTGTGCTTATAAGACGCACTTACAATGTCTCCGTAGTAAGCGTCACAGTTTAGTTCAGAGAGATCTTCGACATTTGATGGAGATACGCACTCTGAAAGATTGAAAAATGAGCAGAAATAAATACAGCTCATCTTTGAGATAACTGATTGATCCCATAATAGATTAGACGTATATTGTTAGAAGGTGATATACGGTTCGTTAGTGAACTGTGAATAAATTGTACATGGAACTATTTGAAAGGAGAAGTCTACGAGTCGTGCGCTAGATCATACGGTAACGAATCGCGGTAAAGAATGTGAAGTGGCTTTCTTAACCTGAATCAATGAATTGCACTACCCCAGGCAATGTTTTAGTTGAGGGTCAATTTCCCACATTTGTTTGTTGACTGTCCTCAACAACAATCTATTGCTGTACATTTTTTCAACATGCTTGAAGTCTACAAAAGGCGAAGTAATCGAAATAGATGGCGAACCTCCCTCTTTTTGCCATTTCACACCGTAAGGATCGAGTGTCTGTCGGAGGGTGTTGTAAGGTACGAATCTGCGATTTCCACGGATGATAATCTCAGGCTTATTATCATTGACTCCAACAAATTTCACATTTTCGTTTAGCTCGACATATTTCAAGTATGGATTTCCGACGATGGATAAAGCTGGCCCTGAAATGACGAAATTATTTTGAGCATATACTTGCGAAACAGTGGCAGACTAAGAAGTGGGGGAGGGTGCACTTTCGAAATGGGTAAGGAAATTATTGAAAGTTGCTCGCGCGAGTTGTAAAATTGCGCAGGGTTTTTACAGTTCTATGTGTTTCAAGGAAAATGAACATTTCAGATTTTTTGACGGGCTGAATGCCACAAGACGCTCCTTGCTTGCTCATCAGCACATATGTAATGGCTAGCCCCCCAACGAAGAATGAATTGTTGTAGTGAAGATTCCTCTTATTGGATAAACAGCCATGCTGAGCTACGCTTTTTCGGTGATTGAAACGTACTGATAGATTGGGAAGCACGGATCTGGGACAGTAAAACAGTTGAAGGTTGCTTTCAAACAAATAAAATTGTTGGATATATGCTCGGCGGTCATCCTCAAATGATTAGTAGCGATGCACAAAAATCGTACCCTAATTTCACAAACTCGCCTCGTGAAATGTTCGCTCTTCAACACAATTCTTTTGGGTAAGCACCATGGTAGAGGGCCCGTGGTCGCAAAATTTTTTGCTGTCTTCAGGTTCGTCGAGTAGGAAAAAACAGGTGCGTCTTGTACTTGTGAAATTAGGGTGATAAGCTCGGAGCAAAAAATGACCTTTTCCGAACCTATCCTAAATTCTTTATGAAGATGAATAAAACAGCAAGGGATATTTACTGCAGATTTTTCTCTCTTTTTTGTCTTTTCTGTGTTATTGTGAATCTTGCGATTAATTTTGAGATCGTCAGTTCCAAATGACTTCAGATTACTTTCGAAAGGTTTCTGAGACTTTAGAAGTCAGTCATGACAACAAGCAGATAGAGCAAATCCTGTAACATAATGTTTTTGCATTTCTCCAGCACCGGCTTTCTAGAATTATTTAGAATCAAGAAATTCTTCACTTTTAGATTATGTGCACCTAACTGCACCGAATTATGAGAATTTTCTTGAGAATCTTGAGTTTTAAAACTGTATAATCACTGTCCTATCTACTATGCTTACAAAGCACTCAGATAATCGCTGGGGGCAGGCGGTCTGCAAACTCGCTTTTTTCTGCAAGCGGTCAGCAAAATTTTGGGGCGTGGCCAAACCTTCAGCGAGCGTTACTTCCGTGTTCTGCCAGCGGGCAGCAATACAGCATTTTTTGCAAGCGCTCGGCAAATAATTTTTTTCAGCGAGCGCTGGCCAAACTTTCAGCAAGCGCTCGGACTCTTTTTAGGCATTTTCGGGCGTACGTCGAGCGCAAGTAAGACTCTGTGTGGCAGAAGTGTCACCGTTGGTTTAATTACTCAAGTTTGAGGTACTTTCTCCCAGCGGAAAGTACCTGGGGGTTGCGCGGTCCTCCACAAAGGACCGTGCGGTTCCCGAAATTTTTGCATATTCTCGCGGAAAGTCCGCGAGAATGCGGCCACTGCGCCGCAGCTAATCCATAAAGAAACCGCGACTGTTCTTCAAGCATTCGTCTTTAATTTCGCCAATTTTCTTCCAAATTTCTGCAAGCGGGCGGCAAAAAATCAACGAACTATTTTTCCGGTGTGCGCTTGCTCAAAATTCGCATGGCCGCCTGCCCCCGGCGATTATCTGAGCAGATGAACAATTGTTGCCTTGAATACTGGAAAAGTTGAAACGCAGGTAACAACAGCACTTATAGAACTGAGAAATACTGCAATTTTTGCAGAAACCGCATATATCGCGAGAAATGGCTGTTAGAAAGAGTAGAAAGAGTTGCAATAAATGGTAAAGTTTTTACCAGGTAGTGATTTAGGAGGTTTGGTGGGTCGAATATAACAACGTGTCGCTTCAAAAAGTATTCCTTAAGACCACAAAAATAGGCTAGAGAAATGAGAAAGGATGCAACAAGTTGCAAAAGGTGTAAGCCCTATCTGCTAACTGTCAAGATTTGTTTAAAAGTCCTTAATAGAATTTCTGAAAATGAGCCGAAATAGGCAAGTAGGTACAAACGATAGGTTGATCTTTTGCAATTATTTTGGCATCACTTTGAAGAATCACTTTGAAACCATAGCTTCGAAAAGAGGAATTTTTGTGCCTATCTCATATGTTCCTTTCGTCTATCTTTACAGATTTTACGGATGGGTTTGAGAAAGGCGGAAAATGTGCTAGACCTAAGTAGGGCTCAACCTTTGTGGCTACTTACCTGATATGCAACTCGTCCATCGACGAACATTTGAAAAGTGTAAATGAGTGTAGAACGTGCTGTGAATTTCGACGCACATGTTCACCTGACAAAAATTTCGATTGCAATGGAATTTGTAGTGAAAAAACATGCCTCGACAACATTTTCAAAGAGATCGTTGATGTCCTTCTCGCCCATGCCGTGAGCTTTGAAGATATAATGACTCGGCGATCTGCCAAGTATCCGACGTCCTTGACAATGTCTCCTCTGTATGATTAGATTTTGAACTGAGAATTAGCCGTGGAAAGTTTGTTCTTTTTCCAAAGCTTTTGATTGGTGCTGCTGCCTATGGTGGCTCAGTAATCGAAACACTTAGATGCTTAAGAAGTCGTGTGCTTGCATCTCTACTGGTATCATCAAATGAAAGTTGTCGTAAATGAAGTGAAGTGCTGAACTTATGCTATTGAGCATACTTATGCTCATGCCTGCGTTCAAGTCAGATCTCATTCATGAATGCATTGCCAGCAGATCCGCTGAGTCGCTAACTCAGACAGTCGGTGCCGTAGCTCCGGAGGACAATCGAAATCTGGCGGAGCCGCGGAGGACCCAATTGACCATTGAGAGTGGGGCGAGGGGGCGGTCCCTTCTTGTAGGTCACGGTGACGTCACAAGCAGGCGAACGGGACCCCTCTCCGGGACGCGCAAATCTCTGCTCCGGAGGTACGCCAGATTTGGGAGAGCGCCGGAGCAAAGATTTGCGCTCCGGAGGTACGCCAGATTTGGGACACCTCAGGAGCACAAAATGGGAGGTCTCCGGAGCACAAAACGGGAGGTCTCCGGGACACAGAATGGGAGGGCTCCGGAGCACAGATTTGCGCTCCGGAGATACGCCAGATTTGGGACATCTCCGGAGCACAATAGGTACGCAGCCAATTTGCCGTGATACGCAGCTTAGCATTTTCGAAAATAAGCTGCCGTCGCTCTCGACTTACTTTTTTTTGTCGTTCTTTCGAGCTCGCTTTTCTTTTTTTTTTGGTTTTTCTTGTTGTCGTCGGCGCATTGGCGTTTATGTTGTTTTAAGTTATTCGTTTTCAGGTTTATTTCGGATTTTCGTGCGGATGCACTCAATCGCTTTTGGTTTTCGGCTCTCGTTTTCGACTTGCTGTCGTTTTTCCGCGTTTTTTTCCGTTCTTTTTCTTTTTCGTGTTGCTCTTCGGCGCTTTTGGCGTTTATCTGTTCAATTCCTTCTTTTCAGGTTCCAGGCTTTAGGTTTTCGTAGAGCAGAGTTAGTCTAGTGGTTAGTGCTCTACGTAACATTGCCGTGCTGAAGGTCACGGGTTCGATTCCACCCTGAGCCTAATTTCTGCGGCAAAACTCTGCTCACAATTCCAGCGTCAGGCTGCCCTTCCAAAGAAGGGCATGCGACAAGCCGGCTGAGAAACACCCCGTCGCATCATAAATGCAGACATGTCACATAAAGTATCTCGAGTAAAGGCTAGGGCGTCCCCCGGAGGCGACGCGCATTCGAGCCCGACGAATGCGAATAGTGGGCGAGGGTTACCGTCTCAGCAAGGTGAACGGGGACGGCTAAAGCGGCTAGTTCACCAGAGGCAACGAACCAAGGCATCGCAGACTCTCCGTCTAGCTACCATCAACATGGGTACACTCACCTCTCGTTCTCGTGAGTTAGCAGATCTTCTGAAGAGACGGCGAGTCGATGTAGCCTGCATACAGGAAACAAAGTGGAGCGGGGCAAAGTCACGTGACATCGGAGATGGATATAAACTCCTGTACAACGGTGCCACCTGCACCAGAAACGGGGTTGGTATAGCTGTCTCAGAGACCCTGCGGAGCAATATAGTTGACGTTGAGCGCATAAGCGATCGTCTGATGAGCATCAAGATAGATACCGGGAAACAGGTCCTACGAATAATCACCGCCTATGCCCCACAAGTTGGATGTAAGGATGACGAAAAAGACGTGTTCTGGCAGGAGTTGGATGACCACATCAGCTCAATTCCACTGAATGAGACACTCCTGCTAGGAGCGGACCTCAACGGACATGTGGGAAAAAGGCGAGGAGAAGCCGGGAAATGTCACGGAGGCCACGGATACGGAACATGCAATGAAGAAGGTGAACGCATTCTGGAATTCGCCTCAGCTCATGATCTGGTCTTGGCGAACACATACTACATCAAGAAGGATGATCACCTCATAACATATGCGAGTGGCGATCGACGAACACAGATAGACTTCTGGGTTATCCGACAGCGTGACCTCAAAAACGTAAAGGACTGCAAAGTCATTCCCGGTGAGAGCTGCATACCTCAACACAGACCACTGCTTCTCGACATCAGAATCCCAATGGATAGGCACACCAGGAGAGCCACAGAGACCAGGACACGCATCAAATGGTGGAGATTGAAAACCAACAACACAGCGAAACAAACACTACTAACAACTCTACCACGCTTGCAAGATAACCCAGATCAGTCCTGGGAAAGCTTGAAAGATAGAGTCCACGAAGTGGCACGCATGACCCTGGGAAGTACAAAGCCAGGAAAAAGAAGGATCAATCGAGAAACGTGGTGGTGGAATGACGAAGTGCAAAAAGTCATAAAGGAGAAGAGGAATGCGTACAAGCGATGGCATAAGACGAAATCGGAGAAAGATCGTCAGACGTACCAACAAGCCAAGCACGCTGCGAAGGCTTCCGTAAAGAATGCAAAAGAGGTGTACCTGAAAGAGCTCTACGATCATCTAGAGTCTCGCGAGGGAGAACGTGAGATATACCGGATAGCGAAAAGAAGAGTGGAATCCACAAAAGATATGGAACATTTCCTCCATATCAAAGACAAACTTGGTAGGACGTTAAGAAAACCAGAGGACATCACCGAGAGATGGAGAACCTACTTCGAAGAAATGGCCACCACAGGCCGCACCACCATAAACTCCATCTCAGAAGCCAGTCCCATACAAGGACCAGTACCAGCGGTCACGGAAGAGGAAGTGTGGCTAGCCATAAGAAGAACGAAAAATGGCAAAGCGACTGGTCCAGACGACATACCAAGCGAGTTCTGGAAAATATGTGGACAATCCGGAGCCACTTGGCTGACGAGCCTCCTTAATCAAGTCATAAGGAGCAAGAGTATGCCTCGCGACTGGTACACCAGCACGACCATCCCGATATGGAAGAACAAAGGAGACATAGCAGACTGCGCATCCTACCGACCAATCCGACTGATGAGCCACACTCTAAAAATCTTCGAGAGAGTAATCGAAACACGCCTTCGAGATATCATAAAGTTGTCACCGAATCAGTGCGGATTCGTGAAAGGAGTAGGCACAACTGACGCAATCCATTCCGCTCGGATAGTGATGGAGAAATACAGAGAGAAGCAGAAGGAATTGCATGCAGCCTTCCTGGACCTAGAGAAAGCCTTCGATAAGGTGCCCCATGAAGTCATATGGTGGGCCTTACGGAAACACAAGCCAGAGGAGTACGTTCAGTGGATAAAGTTGATCTACCACAACGCTTCAAGCCACGTGCAAACAGCTGCAGGGCAATCGAAAGAATTCGAAATCAAGGTTGGAGTACACCAAGGTTCAGTTCTCTCTCCCTTGCTCTTCATCACGGTGATGAACGCCGTAATGGAACCGCTCAGACGTGAACCCCCTTGGACACTTCTCTACGCAGACGATGTGGTCTTGATAGCAAGTACCAGAAAGGAGCTACAAGACGAGGTGCAAAACTGGAAAAACAGGCTAGAGTTGTATGGCCTGAAGCTCAACACCAGGAAGACAGAATATATGGAAGTGGGGAAACAAACTCCAGGTACCATAAGCATCGATGGTGAAGAGCTAAAGAAGACGACGTCATACAGATACCTAGGCAGTCACATCTCAGCGGAGGGAGGCTTACAAGAGGAGGTCGCAGGCAGGATGAACACAGCGTGGATGAAATGGAGAGCCTTAACAGGAGTTCTGTGCGACAGACGAATGCCAGTGCAACTCAAGTCCCAACTGTACCGGACCGTTATCCGCCCAGCAGCACTATATGGCAGTGAGTGCTGGCCGTGTACGCGGAACGAGGAGCGCAAGCTCAGTGTCATGGAAACAAGGATGCTACGATGGACCTTAGGAGTCACACTGAAGGATCACATCTGCAATGACACTATACGAGCGCGAATGAAAGTAGCTCCAATTGTCCAGAAAATGCAGGAAAAGAGATTACGATGGTATGGGCATGTGCGCAGAAGGGATGAAAGCCACATCACCAAGTTGGTCCTGGCTGTGGAGGCACCAGGCAAAAGGCCCAGAGGTAGACCCAAGATGAGGTGGATGGACAGAATCAAGGCCGATCTGCGAGAACTTGGCATAAACGAAGACCTTGCCTCAGATAGGACGACATGGAGACGTCTGACAAGAAAAGCAGACCCTGCGTAAGCGGGACACATGCGAGGATAAAAAAAAAAAAAAAAAGGCTTTAGGTTTTCGTGCGGATGCACTTAGTCACTTTTATGTTTGGATCTTTTCGACTTGCTGAGACATCGTTGACTAATGATGGAGTGGTTTTTGTGATAGATCCTGGATGTTCGAAACAAAAAGTTTATAAACAATTCCGGTTGAGTCACTAGTAGTACGACCAATATCTAAAGCTAGTGCTATGCAACGTGCTGGTCGCCCTGGTCGTAGTAAGCCTGGTTAGCTTTTCGCTCCGAATCGTTCTCACATCGGGAAACTTTGCATTTTAGGAAAGTGTTTGCGAGATCCCTGCTTCTCTACATGCTCACGAGCTTTCTGAGGTACCCAGTCTTCCAGAATTTTATGTACGAAAAAGTCTGCCTTGCACATCATGACCAGGTATTGTAATGCTTCCTCAGCTTATCCTAAACTTTCGTTTCTAGGACTTGTCTTTTTGTTCGAATGTATCAGCCTATTACTCTAACCAAGTCATACAAGCTGGAGCGAATTACTTTTATTTTTTATCATCCATCGTACTGCTTCCGTCACTCCTTTCAACTCTACCATTAGAAGCAGGTGAGATGGGGATTGCTATGATTTTGGTAGGTTATACATGACGTGGGAACAAAGTCATTTTAGCTGCGGATATGTGGAGCATCAAAGTCCCACTCTAATTCGTTTCTTGGCTTGATCCTTTGCCCAACAAACAACATCGTTCAAACTGTTTACATGACTTGTCGGTTTATATGCTGCTCATAAGCGACGCTCCGTTTGGCATCTGTGGCGGATATATTTCAGTTTTT